ATGATTGGCCTAAAGTCATCCAGCTGGCTTTCATGCCATATATCATCTTTGCTGCAGTGCATTTCTTTATATTTGAATGAGTAACACCAACAGCAACAAAAATGACTTGAAAGGAATATTACAAAATTATTGTGGTTTTGAATTCTAATTTTTGAACAAAGGAAGAATCCATTTAACGGTATTAGTATCTAATACATGCAATACAATGTAAACAAATATCTGAGTGCCTTAAAAAGCTATTATAGAAATACAATTCCTTATTGATGTATTGGTGAGAGATAAGGAACAATTCTGCTATCATTCACTCTTCCTGAATAGCGAATATTGTGAGGAATGTATAATGCCTATGATCACAGCATTCTGAATATGGGTAGTTCTCAATTTATGACTGTAATTGAGCCTGGAATTATAGTCATAAGTTATTGTTGTTGCAAGCTGAGGCACTGTAGGAGAGAGACTGGCAGAGAGACAGGGAGAGGGTTAAACGAGGCATCAGTTTAGAATTGCTATGTAACCACAAAAGAATGAAGTCCAAACCTCTTTGAATGCCTTTAGTGCTTTTCCAATTCTGTCTGGGTGCTGACCATTAATCTGAGTAGATTTCTGTGCGTAGGCTTTTAGCAATAAATCGGTTAATTTGAACCTTCATGTATGAACCTGATAGGCATCCATGACCAGAAGTAATTTTCCAGCCTTTTTTTGCAGTGGTTGTTAAGCAAACCCATTCATTTGAATTGCAATCATGTGATCACAAAATACCGTGATGGGTGTCCCCTGACATGAAGTCATGTGATCATGGGGACAGCAAGACCATTTATAGGCTACAAAACATCCATTTTGTGGTTGTTATAATTTTGTACAGTTGTAAAACAAATAGCCATTAAGTGAAGATCCTTGAACTTCCAGTATACAGATGCTGCTGTAATATGAGGTGAACTTGTGACACAAATACACACCTGCATACATGTATAATCTCTTACAGTATAGAATATAAACTGAGTCTGTGAATTGAGGAATTCCTCATTCAAATCTTATTATTGTTCTTTAGCAGGGCAGTTTTAAGATTAAACAGTATATCCTATGAGAGTAAACAAACTCCTCATATTTACTGTATATGGTTGCTGCAAAATACCTAATACATAAGAAATCCTTCCAATAATTTGGAAACACAGTGATGATGGTAGTGAACATTATTCATACTGCTAACGTAAAAAAAATGTTTATCTCCCATATACTCTCACTGAGAAGCAGTAGTTAAGGCATTATTATAGTTAAGATGTCATTGCGGTCCCCAGCAGAACTAATTAACACTTTTATATTCAGAGTGTTTTTTGTTTGTAAAAACATGTAACTTACTCCCTCTAGGCAATTTGATGTACTTGTTTCCGATACGTCTTTGAAAAATATTTGTATCATGCCAGTTGCAAAGGTAGGAATATGTTTGTGGTGAAATAATTTTTTAAAAAAAATATTGTATATCAAAGCTAATAAAGTTTTAAGAGAAATGCAAGCTGATGCTTTGTAGTGTTTTGATAATACTACTTGATTTAAACTTAGTGATTGTGATCCTGTATTATTATGAACAACGAAGTACATGGACATCAGTTGGATATAAGTAAGGGTAAGAAAAATGCTAATCAAAAATGAAATTCTTTTGCATATATTAAACATTTTCTGCTTAAATTTCTTATATCTCTCAAGGTATAATTATTGTTTTTATTTATTTATTTGATCAAATTAGTACTGGCACAGGGCTGCCTTTGTTTATGGTTTCTTTACTGTTTTAAAGACATAGTTTAAATTTTATGATATACAAAATGCAGGCATATACTAGCAAGTTTTAGTCTTTGGTAGACACATTCCCTGATAAAATGTATAAATTAGTTTGTGAAATGGGATAATTAAAGGAACATATCACTGAAAATCAGTTTGTAAAGAATGTGCCTTACTGAATTTTCTCAGGCTTTGCATTTTGGCATAGGAATTGCAGTATTGGGAGAGAAGCCAGCACCTTACTGAAAGAAAAAAAATATTCTTTATAACAAGTCACATTTATCCTGCAGAATGCCAATGTATTCCTGTTTTAAAGAGGTGTTCAATTATGTGCTCAATGTTCTATCATGTTACTTAACAAAACTGATTTGTTTCCTAGCTATCCGCTCTGATTTTTGCAGTAAAAATCTTCCCATGTAATTTCTTTTTTCTTTTTTTCTTGTACATTCAGGCTATAACCTCATAAGTATGGTTGTCTCTAAAGTATGGGCATTACCATGGTTCCATTTTCTTCTTCCTTGTGACTTTTCCTTACAGTTAACTGTATTTTTAAAGTTATAAATGGATTTTTTTTGCTGAAAATGGAATTCATTTCATGTATGAATGAGCAAGGATCAATCTTGGCATGTAGAGAAAAAGTAGATAAGCTTTGGGAAGTTTTTCAAATTACGTGTAAGACTCTTGTCTAATGTTCTGAAATCTGTTAGGAGCTATTTTTGATCCTGTTTCCTATGGAAGATGTCACGCCAGGTGGCAGTACATAGCTGTCTGGACTGATATTAGTGAGGATCAGCGGGATCAAACCCAGTTAATATACAGGAGACCACCAGGAAATCTGAGGATTACATGGGAAAGTCAAAAAAGGCAGCAGTAGATAGTTTTTTCATTGTTGACAAAAAAAAACCCCTATATTGACATAATTCATGTCCTAATCGGAGTAAAGCTTGACTTGAGGGATTTATTTATTTACTCATTCATTCATTTAGTCCAGAGAAGCAGAACCAGCTATGCTGCACTAACATATAGCAAACCTTGTATGCTTGCAGCATACAGTACTATTGTATGTTCACCTCTTTTCATTTTTGAACTGCAAAACTACATTTAAACCATTTAGGATCAACGAATGTTCAAAGTCTTTGGAAGTCAGGTGGCATATAAATTTAATAAACTATTATTCTTTTTAACAAAAGCAGCAATTTGACCACTTGATTATCACGTTTCAGCTTTGTATCTTATCACTAATCATGACATTGTCTTTCTGACTGAATCTGGAAATACCTCAGTGGAACTTGGCATTTTTTAACTTAAAATTTTGTTATGTGCTGTAAAAATTGGTGTTTTTCTTTATGTTATCACTCTTAAGATAGATAGATAGATAGATAGATAGATAGATAGATAGATAGATAGATAGATAACCTTTATTGTCATTTTTTACTGTGGGCACAATGGCACACATTAAAAATGAAATTTAGTTGCTTACTCTCAAAGTGTACAGATACATAACACACATTTAAACATCCTATATATAACATAGGTACAGAGCTACACCCTTACATATAACTAAGTAACATATAAATATTAATCACTGTCCATCTTGAATACATAACGGAAGGAGGAGACTTTAGAGTTCATAAGGTTTACTGCTTTCCTTATCCTTAATCATCAAAGCAATTAGCTTTACAATTCTTTATTTTCAATAAGTAATTGCAGCTTTGTGGTGTAGTACAAACCATGCCTAAATTTTTCTTTTAAAACTTACTCTTCTAGTTAATATTTACTACAGATAGTCCTTGACTTGCAAATGATTTACATTCATTTAGTGACTGTTAGAAGTTACAGCGCACTGACAAAAGTGATTTATGATCATTTTTCCACACTTACAACCAATGCGGCATTCACATGGTCAAGTGATCAAAATTTGGATGCTCGGCAACTGGCTCATATTGATGACGATTGTAGTGTCCTGGGGTCATGTGATCAGACCTGACAAGCAAAATCAATGGGGAAACCAGAGTCACTTAACAACCATGTTACTAACTTAATAACTGCAGTGATTCACTTAACAATTGTGGCAAGAAAGGTTGTAAAATGGGACAAAACTCATTTAACAACTGCCTCACTTAGCAACAGATGTTTTGGGCTCTTTTGTGGTCATAAGGCAGGGACTGTTGGTGTGTTTATCTCACTGTCTTGGTTTGTACTTGTAGTGGGTACATTTTTGCTTTGTTTTTTTTAAGGGTAGAATGGTCCCTGTGACTACATATTGCCTCACTTTATGCCTCCATGTGCTGCCACTGCACACTATTCTGTTGTGATTGCAGACTCTATTTTCTCAGCTTTAGTTGCCTCTCAGAATCAGAAGTGCTTTTAACCTACTTGTGTGTATTTTCAGATCTTCAGTCTGTATGAACAGGCAACAATGTGTATAAGTTGTAAAATGGGTGGGGATGAACATATGGCACTCTAATACTTAGCTTTCTTTGATTTTTCTGTTATTTCTCTTTTCATATATGTATTTAAAATTTATTTGGATTCATATATGTCAGAAATCAATAACAGATGACTTTACTGTACAATGTTTCACTGTGCCTGTTTCTAATTTAACATACCGTATTTTCTAATATTGAGTTTGTTGATGTTTTAACTTAGATTCCCTCTTCTTTTTTGCTATATGAAAATCTTTTCCTTGTCTAGTTAACATAAATGCAGTTTCAAATCCTTCAAATCCTTGGCTCTCTACATGCCATCATATTGATTTTTTATGAAACAGGATCAGCTTCAGTTTGCTTAAACTAGGTTTATCATTCCTATCCCAAAGGTGCTTTTTCCAAAAGGCAACTGGATTTTCTTGTCTGTTTTTTGTTTTGTTCTTTCTGAAGAACTGAACTAAAGAAGCTTTTTGAATGAGAAGTAAAATGTTTTCAAAGAAAAAAAAAAGGCAAAACATCCAGTTGCCTTTTGGAAAAAGCATCTTTGGGACAACCATGACCTGGACGATTGAGAAACTCCATAGACATTTCTCATTCATAATTATCCCTTAATAATCTTCTATATAGCATTCTGTTTGCTGAGTGTGTCTTATTTTATCTCTTTATGGCCTTTGAATTAAGCATTGTAAAGCCTTTCTTGAGATATTCCTAGCACAACAGAGCTAATTTCTGAATGAGGATTTTGATATTTTTTTCTTGAAATAGTAATGGTATAAACAATAATGTTCTCTTTTGCAGGTTTGACAGATGAAAAAGTGAAGGCCTATCTTTCTCTTCACCCTCAGGTACTGGATGAATTTGTGTTAGAGAGTGTCGGTGCTGAAACGGTGGAAAAATGGCTACAAAGGAAACAAAATAAAGAGGAAGGTACATTCTTAATAACTTTGAAAACCGCTGGACAAATGTTTGTTTATGATTGTCTGCACTTACTGTAGAATGTGTTTATATTTTTACTTTTGTAAATGCACATCATTAACTTTAAAAAAAATGGTATGCTTGTAAACCCCCTTCTACATACAAACACACACGCACACACACACACACAATATTACTATTTGAGATAACTGTTCAAAATGCCAGCTACAGCTCCTGGAACTTTCCTTAGAACTGTAGCAGAATAGGAGCAATGCTGACCACCTGTTGCCTTTATTATGGAACCACACAAGTTCTCCATATTTGCAATACAAGAACTAGCATTTTAAATATAGCATGTTAAATATAGCAGTATCAATCATTTTATTACCTCATCTTTCATTATGAAAATAAATTCATTATACATTTAGTTTTTAGTTGCAAAAGTGTATTTCCCCCCATTTTAATAGAGCAATTCTTCCATTATATTGGTAATACAAGGTAATATATACATTAGTAACAACAAAAGGTACAAGATGAGAGGACAAATAGACAAATTAGCTTAAAATAATTTCACCAGTTCCTCAGTTTCTCATGAGTTTCAAAGTTAGCTTTATTCCTTTTTGATACGAAATTGTAATTTAAAAAATGTTCATAAAATTGTATTGAGTTTTTATACACATTATCAATTCTCTCTAATGTGCCTTTTTCTAAATATTAGCAATTATATGAATTTTCATGCATGTTTTAATCAGAAATGCAAAGTTTGAAAAAGTGTACACAATTGCATTTTAGTGCATATACATTCTAAATGTAGAAATTGATCTGGTTGAATTAAAAGTCAAAGCAAAGGGTTTCTTTATCTCTCAAGGTACACATTGATATTCTACACTGCAGTGTCAGTTTTGCATTTAAAAAAATGAATCAAAATTTGCACAAAAAAAAAGTTGAATGAGACCTATAGGCTCAGTGGTACCTTTCTGAGCTGTGGATTGCTTATCTAGATGAAATGAGCATGACATAAAAGTTAATTAGAAATCTGTCCTTGCTTCCTTCATGTTTCCTAACTGCATTGTGGTTCTTTCAGTGTACTGATTGATCAACATCACATTTTAATTAACTAAAGGCTTAAAGTTCATCCTATTATACATACAATAGTTTGCTTGCCTGTCATATTTAATGAGTTAGAAGAGTTCCATTTCTCCAGTGATTACTGGGTGAGGAGGTAGTTATGGGAAGTGCTGACTTTTGATAAACTTTCAGCAATAATAACACTGAGAAGAAAATCTTAGGCTAAGCCAGATCTTCTTTCTTAATAGAAAGTGTTAGACTTTTTTTTGGCAAGGTTTGTTATCTGCTGCTGTGATTCCATTTGAAGTCTATTCACTGGCTTATTTCATTCATAAGAGAGAGAGAACCACCCTTTCAAGTAAGTTCCTCAGTCCCTGAGAAGATGGCCTCAAAGACCGAAAAACATCTTTCTCTCCCTTCTGTATAATGCACACAAATAGTTAGATCAACTCAAAAGAGGTCAGTGAGAACTGCCACTCTTGACTCTCTTCCCCCTCCCCATTTATTCAGAAGCTGAAGGCAACATATATAGCCCTACTCATTTTTTCCCAAAGCAAATTTTTATGACTGTGAGTAGACTTGAACCTGGGATTTCGTTGTGCAGTCCAACACATTAATCAGTATACATCTCCTCCTCTCTTCTTGTGGCATGCAAGGTAATGTGATCTTGCTGGTTGCTTATACATACCTCCTACTTTTCAGCAGTTCCTCACAGACCTGTCTGAGAAGTAAGTTATAGCAATCCGTCTCCTTGTTTATGGCTCCTTGTTTATGCCAGCACTCTTCCTCTAATTTCTTGGCTTGTTTCTTTCCACTGGCCATTGACACGAGGAAGATTTAGAAATGCTATTAAATAAACAAATAATGGCACTAGTATTCTGTGATACTTTTTCCAGTTTTCTATTCATTCTAATTTCAAAAATATTAGTTATATTATTCCAGCCAGATTTTTTTCCCCTCAGTGTATTGGTTAAACAAAGAGCATGTATAAGAAACACTACTCTGTATTTTTTTTTTCTGACTAAGCAGTTCCCTTTTCTTTTGTAAGGTATGTGACTAGCAGGCAGGAAGAACAAAACAGTGGTAGTAAGGTTATTAAGAGTATGCTCACAGTTATATAACTGGTTAGTATTATATTAATTACTGTCATTTAATATTTGTATCCGGACGATAGTCTGCTTGCTAAAGCATTGAATTTTTTGTTGAGGGTAACCCCACTATTGTACCTTTCCCTACCCTTATCCCAACCCCATCCCCTAACCCCATCCAATATCCATACCGATCTTATCCTTTCCCTACCCTTATAAAACTCAATAAGTAAACATTTTTTACATTTAAAAGTAAAAAAAAAGAGTATGCTCACAGTACTATGGGTGAATTCAGTAGTAAAAAGTGGAGAAGGGAGCTGTCTTCTTTTCACTGGAATATGAACAGAATTAACTTCTTTATTCTGATGTTTAAGATACCTGTTAGAATTCACTGACATAAAAATGCATTGGCCCCCAGTGGTTCCCACCCTAAATAAAAGATAATAATTATTTCCATAAACCCCTATTTCTTTTTTAAAAATATTATTTTTAATAGGAGGATGTGTACGGGAATATAATGTCAACCAGACTGTACAATATTTTTCTCTTTTCTTTTCCATGTAGTCTTTTCTATATGAACTAAAGTTTTTTGTTCACCGAGGTCTTTTATATAACTTCTGAAACTTTCAAACACCTTCAGTTTTTAAAACCTGTGTGAGTAGATGCTTTTATTTTGAGTGCTTTCTTAGTTTTATTTCACTTGGTTTTTATTTATTTATATAGTCATCTGCTCTCAAAAGCTTGTCCAACACATGATGATAAGTATTTATATTCATTAGTCTGTTCAGAAACAGACACGACTTCCTGTACTAGACCAGATACATATCTAACAGAAGAGATGAATTTTTATAAAGGCACCAAAATAAAACCACTTAAAATAATTTCCCCAGAATGACTTGGTTTCAGATCAGGAAGTTATTCATAAAGGAAGTGGTTGGACATCATTGGAAATAAAAATCTAAAGCCTTAGGATTGAAGTTAGGGAACATTTCCTACTGTTAATAGTCCCCCTTCCCTTTAGCATGAGAACTGATCATTTTGGCAGACAATAAGTAATCTGAGTAACTGATTTTTAGCTGACTCATAGTTTCCTACTATATTTCACAGTGGCAACTCTAGTTGTATGCTGCAGGAGAGGATTTGCTGCACATACCTACTTGGCGTTTGCATTTTGGTCTTCATAATGAATATTTCAGAAAGTATCTTTGCTAGAGATATGATTGTCCCCATGTGTGTGTATGTGGGAGGTGGGTGTTTAAAAAATACTATAAAGCTGAAAGTTTAAGAGTTTTAGAGTTTCATACTATAGCAAGCAACGTTTTGTACAATTTATATGGTACTCTTTTTTTGCTAAATTTAAATTAAAATCTTTAAAAATTAGTCCCAAAGGTATTTCAAGTGAATGAAAACTGACCATATGTATTTATTCCATCTATACATCACTATATTTCTCTCCATCCTCCATTAAGAAAAGACCCAAGAAGAAAAATTCAAATATTCTTTCTTATTTCTTTCAAAATGCAAAATTTTACCATCTTGCACATTTTAAGTAATATGGACATAAAACAAATAATTTCAAGGACAGTGCCTTGCATAGTTGCTAAATTTCTGTAAGGTAATTTTGCTGTAGGTCCAAGAATATCTTTCTGTCCATTCTATAATCTGAGAGATTCTAAATTTATAGTGAGCTGGCCTATAATGACCTAATAGTCATTTAATGGGAATTCTTTTATATTTCTAAAAGCTCATCTATTGCATGAGAAATTAATGGTTCTATAGTTTTTCACCATAGAGTGGTAATAGGTTGCTGTTATTATTTGAATTAATTTTTATATTATGTGTTCAACTTTCAATAATAGTTTTCACAAATGCTCTGAGTGCAGAAAGTTCCCCCCAATTCCAAGCAAGACATTTGTGAAAATTCCTAGTCCATATGATAACTACTTTAGATGTAGAAGCATTCAGAGTTATCCTGAGTGCATCAGAGATCACTGGTTCACTTTTTATCTGAAAGTTCCTTTCTATTAATAAAAGTAGGAAGAAAAATCCATGGCAATGTTTTTGCTGAGTATGATGGTCAAGAATAACTTGTCTGAAGTCCATATTCTTCTTTCAGACACTTTCTGTTCTCAGGATTGAAACTGTAAAGAATTCTTGCTTAATTTATAGAATTACATCATAGCTATTTGAGTACCATTACACTGCATGTTCTAACCAGTCATTGTAGAGATACCTATAAGATAGTCATAGAATTATCTTGTCTGGTGTCATCATTGTCCTCATCTTCCTCTTCCATTATGTTGTCTTACTTCTAAAAAGCATTTTGAGTTCAGAAGAGGCAGCCATAGCCAAGAAGGGAACAAATTAAGGTTCTAGGATGCAGGAGACAATTTTTTGGTTGGTTAAGGCTGCTCTTAATAGATTATGGAAGAGTGAATTAAGGCTGCAATGGATAAAGTTGTCTCATTCTGAGGTACAGAGATTTGTGGAAAGAAATTATTTTTAACTAGTGAATCCTAATTTAAAATTGCTTTATGTGCTGTCCCATTTGAGAATGCTAGGAAGTCATGCCACCAATTTTCAGGATAGCCTACTTCTACTCTAAGCTTTTTCAATTCATCTCTGGTCCCAGTCCATTTGGGCAGAATTGTTTCCATATGTCTATTATTTCTTGTAAAAGAAAAGAAATGAAGCTCAGAAATCGGTATGGTATTTTGCCCCCCTTTTCAAATAATATGCACAGCTACATAGAAAAATAGGCTGCCCTCTACAGTTATTCCTACATAGGATCTGCAAGTGGTCATCAATATAGGAGATTATTGTGACTGGTTAAATATAATTTGAAAAGGTGAACTG